TACTAATCTCCTCCCACATGTATAAGCTACATTTTTAGAGAAGATTCTTGTTTTCTCCACACTGACTTTTTGACCCAAACTATCGCAAAAAAGGTCTAGACATAATTGTATTACTTTAACTTGATCCATTGATGCTTCTGAAAATAACATAAGATCATCCGCAAAGGCAAGATAAGAGAGGGAAGGGTCATCTAGAAAGTTTAATTACTTTCCAACCTCCAGAATCAACAACCAGTGTAATGAGATGAAAGAGGCGTTCCATACAAAGAACAAACAAATATAGAAAGATAGAATCGCCTGATGAACTCCACGTGATGGTAGGAATTCCTATAGAACCTCGCCATTCCAAAGCATGTGGAGTCTAGGAGAGGAAATGCAAGTTGAAATTAGGTCTACAAGATTAAGTGGAAGACCAATATCTATAAGTGTTTCCTTCACAAAGCTCCACCTCAACCTGTCATAGGCTTTCTCGAGGTAAATCTTGATAGTCATCCATCCTTTGTTACTTGTCTTGCTTCTTAAAGAATGAATAACTTCCTGAAAAATGATAATGTTATCCTTGCTATGTCTGTGTAAAATAAAATTGCATTGATTGGGATGCACCAACTTTTCTATCACATTATTGAGCCGGTGGACCAACACTTTGGTTAAAATCTTGTAAGAAACATTGCACAACCCAATAGGACACATTTGTTTTAGATGGGTGATATTCTCTACTTTTGGAATCAACACAATCATGGTTTCATTAATGTCAACAACCTTAGCTAGTTCCATTTCAATCTCATGAATGAGTTGACACACAACAGGACCTATAGTTTTCCATTGAGATTGATAAAAAAATTGTTTGTAGTCTATCAGGCCTAGGGGCCTTAAAACCTCTCATTCTTCTAGTTGTTGAATAAATTTCTTTATTACTGATTTGACTCCCAATAGCCGCCAATTCCTCCTCATCAAGTTGAGAGAAAGTGTAACACCCAGTTTTTTTATTACTATTATTAATGGCATTTTCGTAATTTTAATAAAGGAATAAGGATATTTCTGGGTGTCGGAACGGGACGTTCCAAATATGGAACGGGCCGTTCTGAAAGAGGAAACACAATTTGTTTTATTGTTGCAGAACGGCCTTGGAACGGGCTGTTCCGGAAGGAGAACGGGCCGTTTCAGATGGAGAACGGGTCGTTCTGGTTGGGAGAACGGGCCGTTCTGGAAGCAGAACGAGCCGTTCTGCTGGATTTTGGAACGGGTTGTTCTGGTTTTGGAACGGGCTGATATAAACATATAAAGTGATGTGAACTTTCAATCTATCGGTTGGATTTACAAAATTCACACATTTAATATAAATTTATTGAGCAGTGTAATACTTAGTAAAAATTGTACCAGTATTATTATAACCCTTCTCATTTTAAAATATATAAATTATTACTTAAACTTTTAAATTTATAATAAATAATTTAAATTGTATCATAAAATTAATTTTAAATAGAAATAAGTAAATTGTTATATATAAATAAAGATTAATTAAATATAATATAATTATTATTATTAGTAATATAATTATTATATATATTATTATATATTTATAACGGTCCGTATATACCAAAATGATAAGGATCCAAAAATAATATAAGTATGAGATTGGATAGTTGAGGATGACTTAAATGAATTAATTTGTACTACTTATACTAACAACATGCATTTGCTTTTCGGTAGCTTATCTCATAAGAACTTCACAGTTAAGCGTGCTTGACTT